CTGGGCCTGGGCAAAGCCAGGCCATATGGCCTGCAGGGTGACTGTGGGGATGAGCAGGGAGGCCAGCAAGGCGCCTGAGGAGGCAGGAAGTGCTTGCTCGGCAGGCGGATGGACAGGGGCATGCAGCTGGCTTCCCTCCCTCACTGACCTCCTTCTCAAGCTGGTTCCCAGCCTGTGTGGGGACCCAGGCCCCCTCCTCTGGGCCCCCAGCGTCCATGAGGCACACACTGTGTGCTTTCCCACGAACTGTTCCAAGTAGCTGGGCCTGCAAGTCTCCCCTACCCTGCAGCGTTCACACTCTGGCGGGTGAGGGGGTGTGCTGCAGGAGGGGGGCTCAGGCTGGGGGGAATCAGTCCGTTCTTTATCAACCTGGCTCCAATCCAGACAGATGTTTCATTTTATTTTGAACTTCCAGTAAATAGGTCATTTCTTTCCATTGTGTCTCTGGGGAGGCCTCCTGGGGCGAGGAGCACAGAGTGAGTGACTGAGTGTAGGGGCCTCACATGGGCCCTGGGGAACTGGGAGGACAGCAACCTTCCTCCTCGGTCATGATGAGCTGTCTGCAGGGCCAGAGCATGAAGGTTCGTGAAGGCCAGGCTAAGAGGCCGGCCTCTACAGTAGTCCCCCCATTATCTGAGGGGGATGAGTTCCAAGCCTTCAAGGGGCTGCCTGAAACTGCGGAGAGTACTGAACCCTATACATACTGTCTCTTTCTACACATACATACCTATGATAAAGTTTAATTTATAAATTAGGCACAGTAAGAGATTAACAACAGTAAGTAAAAATAAAATAGAATAATTATAACCATATACTGTAATAAAAGTTATGTGACTGGGGTCTCTCTCTCTCTCGCTCTCTCTCTCTCTCTGATAACCCATCTGATAACTGAGACATGTAATGAGTGACTAACGGACAGGTAGCACACACGGCATGGGTACGCTGGACAAAGGGATGATTTACGTCCTGGGTGGGATGGAGGGGGATTGTGCAGAATTGCATCACGCTACTCAGAAAGGCACATAAGTTAAAACTTAGGAATTGTTTATTTCTGGAATTTTCCATGTAATATTTTCAGACTGTGGGTAACAACCCGTGGAAAGCCCGACTGTGAATAGGGGGGACTACTGTACCTAGGAGTGACAGAGAGCCATGGAGGTGTCAGGGAACGACATGGCAAGATCGGTATTTCAGAAAGGTTGGGGTGTGAGAGCAGGTGGGAGAGGACAGACTAGAGGTGAGGCGACAGGAGGCGGGGGTTCAGTGGGGCAGCCAGAGGGACTCAAGCTTGTGCTGGAGGGGCAGGGGTAGGGGGGTTAGAATGATGGTCCATGGAACTAGCACTGTTCTTCTACCCACTTGGATTTCCAGAACAGCTAGAGCCCGTGCCAGGCCCCAACATAGTCAACCTCTGCTCCTCTGTTTGGGGGACCTTGCAGATACCTGGAAAACATGAAGATCCTCTGAGACTAGCAGCAGCATGGCGGAAAGTCAGGCCCGGGTGGTCAAGCTGCATCGCTGTGATTTGGGCCAAGTTGCTCTCCCTCTCTGGCCTCAGTGTGATCCTGAGACTTGTGGAGAGATTCACGGTGTAGGGGTGGAAGGCTAAGCCTTCCCCAACAGACAGACGTGGGGCCTAGGACTGAGGGGGGCAGGTGGGAGCCTCACATCCTCAGCCTCTTCTCAGGTTTCTACTTCCCACCTGTAACAGTCCCCTGCTCCATGGAGCCTGCTCTCCTACCTGGCTCCCATGCTGCAGGATCATATCTACATTTCAGCTCACTTGGGGTCAGGCCAGAGAGGCCACACTCCCTGCAACGTCCAGCCTGTGCCACCATCACTCGTGTGCTCTCCCAGCTGCTGGCAGGAGGACTCAGTCTGGCCCCAGATGCCTCTTGCCCCCACACACTCCCAGGCCTGGAGCTGGCCGCCTTCTCCGAGCTGAGTCATGACATCCTGGCTGGGGCCCCTCCCCAGCACCTCACCCCCACTCCAGCCTTCCAGCTCAACACAACTGCCTTCCAGAACGGGGTCCTGAGGGCCACCGCATGTCAGCCCTGGGTCAGCCCTGGAAGTGGTCCCAGGATAGCTCTGTCTACCCTATGTACAGATGGGGAAACTGAGGCTCAGAGAGGCGCAGGACTGCGCTATAGGTGGGCGACAGAGCAGGGACTAGAAGCCATGTCCCCTTACTCCCAGCCAGTCTCTTGAAGTTTGTCCCAGGGTCTGTGACGTGCCCTTAGTGTGGAGGGGACAAGACTGGGTGGCCGGTCAGGAGACCTGAGTCTGTCCCATTTCTGCCAGCAAATTAACAAGTCACTCCTCTGAGACTCAGTCTCCCAATCCTGCCTGGCTGGGACAGTGCAGCGGAAGGCACTTTGATATAAAGGCCTATGTACAGCAGGGCAGGGGGTGGGGTGCCCGGTGGGGAAGGAGGAGGCAGCAGCTGTCGTCTGAACCCTGGGGCCTGGAGCCACCAGATCCCATCTGAGGCAGGGCTGGCGGCGAGGGCTGCCCAGTCAGGTGAGCTTCAGCTACCCACTGGCCACCCGTGCCCAGCTTGCCTGAGCCAAAATACCGGGTCCTGTCCCTGTCCTCCGAGGCTCAGTTTCCTCATCTGTACAATGGGGCAGAGGAAGGGGGTTGGATCAGGCAGCTGAGGGCCATGGACCTCAGACATTCCAAGACTAACCCCAAGACCCTATGGCCAGGCCTCCTTCTCCCTCTGGCATCTTGTTTATTCAGAGCATCCCTGGCTCGAGACCAAGACCGAGCTCGCCTGGCCCAGCGCCCCGCTCCTTTTGCAGTAGGGCTTCCTCCCATCCCCATCTCGCTGCTATTTCTCCCCAGCCTGTTCCCTGCCTCCAGACCGAGTGTCCCTCTGTCCCCTCAGGTGCCCACAGCGCCTCCACATCCTAAACCAGCTCGGTTGGCAGCTCTTAATCCTGCTCTCCCACCTCATTTTCATCTCAGACCAAGCCAGAAACAGGGGTGTGGCATACACACACCAAGCCAGAAACAGGGGTGGGGCTCGTTCAGGATACTTCTCTCTTCAGCCTCCCAGCACCTGATCTCTAGGACCTGTCGTTCTCAGCTAGATAAACCTCAAACCCATCTGTTTCTACCACTCTCCACGGCCCTCTCCCCAGCTCAAACCAAGCAAACAGAGAAGCGGCGGCGTAGCACTCCCCCTCGGCTCCATTTCTGCTCTCTGTTCCTGGGCAAGTTCCTTAAGCGTTTCCTGCCTCAGGTTCCCCGTCTAAAATGGGAATGATTGTATCTATCTACTTCGTAGAATTGGCTGACGAGCAAGTGAGTCCATTCATGTCAAGTACTTAGAGCAGCACCTGTTGTAGCAAACGCACATGGCGCGTTGGCTTGGTGGCCTGTCTGTGCACGCATATGGATGTATGTTCAGGGGACTTTGGGGTCCTGTGTGCACACGCTCTGTGTGTGTGTGTTGTATGTGTACAGCTTTGTCCTGGGTACACATGTGGTTTGCCATACACATGTACACCTCATATGGGCACGTGGAGAGCTCACAGGCGGCAGCAGTCTGTGCTGTGTGTACATGTGCTGGGCACAGTGGGAGCTGCGTCCATGTGTGTTTTATGTGGGTGTGCACATGTTGAGTGTCTGCATGAGGGCCGGGCACACATATGGCCTGCTGCACATGGATGTGTTTCAGGGGAGTGACTGAGCACGTAGGCAGGAGTCTGTGCTGTATGTGCACGTGCTCACCGTGTGCAGGCCCCCCCTCCCTGGCCTGCCTGTGTCGTGGGAGCCTCAGGACCCCAAGGGAGGGAAGCTGCTGCCGGCGGATGTGGCCAAGATGGACTGGATTTATTTAGATTAAGGCGGTGGGAAAGGAGTGGAGGCTTGTATATACTGGAAGGAGGGAAGGCAGGGCTCTGAGAAAGGCTCCCCAAGCACACTTGCACCCCTGGACTTGGGGTCCTCCGTCTGCTCTCCCAAAGGGGTACCTCTGATTCACTGTGATGAACTGAGCAATCACCCCATCTTTGAACCTCTGTTTCTCCAATCTGGCCAAAATAGGAGGAATCACGAGGGCTTCCTGGCACACGGCACTCTTTTCATGGGCAAAGGGGAGGAAATCCCTGAGGGTCCCCCTCCTCTCTGTTTCAGGGGCCTCCCTGAGTAGAAGAGTATGGCAGGTAGGGGCGGGTGCCTGTTCCCTGACTGTGACACTCACCTTGTCCCAGGTGGCTCTTTCTTGGAGTACAGCCCTACCCTTAAACAAGGGAAGTTGTCACGGGCAAGCCCACCCCCCCCCAAAATCAGCTGCCTGGGCCCCATGGCAGCCTCTGGCGAGCCTAAAGAGGTTCACAGGGCATTGAGTAGATGGCTGGGGGTGTCAGGGACTCATCCCAGATGGCCCAGGAGATCATGCCTGGGTGCCCAAAGCTGCACTCTGGTCCTTCCCAGTCCTGTGGCCAGTTGTCCATGGCTCCCTTCCCCTGCTACCTCCTGGATTTCCGTATCACTCCTTTATTTGTCTGAAAGTCACCTGAAAAACCAAGGAAAACAACTCATCAAACGCTACACAGCAAGTCTGTGATGGAATGGTTGGGGAAATTCAAGCCATGTAATGAGATAGCTTATGGGTTCTCCCGAAATGCTGCCCCCTCCTTCTCATCAGCCTCCACTTCCCCAAACCACCCCAACAGGAATAATAGTGCCTAGAACCTTCTCCTGGCACTTTCAGAACAGGGGTGGCTCTTTGCGATGACCCATCCAAACCTCTCCCTGTGTGGACGGGGAGATAAAGTCCCAGAGAGGGCTGGAGACTTACTCAGTCTCATGGTGGGTCTGAGGCCCCTTGTGCCCAGAGCCAAAAAGCTCCTTTCATAAAGAGAGAAGCCAGTCCAAGATCCCTGGTGTATCTACCCTCTCCCTGAGCTCCTCTACCCCACCTATGTTCTTCCCATAGCCTGATTCTTTTTGCTCTGTGACTGGGCCATGATTCTGTCCATCTCTAGGCCTCTGCTGCCTGTTCAAGAAGACCCGGCTGAGAATCTCAGAGGCTCTAAGCTGCCCCCAGCCCAGCAGGAAAGGAGGCAGGGTCAGGGGCTGCTCTGGAGGTGTGTGTGTGTGTGTGTGTGTGTGAGGGGGCAATCCACTGGGGCCCAGCCTTCCAGAGCCAGGCCAGCCCCAGTTGCTGTGACCTCCCATCTCCAGGCCAGCCGACCAAATTCCTCCTTTAGAATAATAAACAGTGTGGCCAGCCAGGGAGGCTGGGAGGAGGGGAGGGGCAGGGAAGCTGAAATGACCCCCTCCCCCAGCCTGGGCTGCTAATGATTTTCTTTGGCTGAGCTCTCTGGCAGGAAGGGGGGGCGTCAGAGGGGCACCCACCGAGGGGCAGATGGGCCTCTGTGGGGGCTCTTGGCTCCACCATGGCACTGCTCCCTCTTGTTGGAGGAAGCCTGGCATCCAGCTGGAGGGGCTGAGGCAGGAGGGGGCATCTGTCTAGAGCAATTGGGAGAGGGGAGAAATGAGGAGAACGTCAGGCAGGCTGGTCTGAAGGAATGGCGAGAAGGTCGAGTCACTCAGAGAGCTTTCTGGGATGCAGGACAGAGCTGAGACCGGGAGCCCACCGGTCAGGAGGCTTGCCTCTGTCCCACCACTAACATGTCAACGCAGCGCTCTAAGGGGTACACTCAGCATCATCCCACTTCGAGAGCTGGAGACGGAGGCCACAAAGATAGTGATGACCCAGGAAGTAGCCCTGCTGGGGCTCAGACCTGGACCCCAGCCTTGGGCTGGAAACTCAAAGGGGTGAGATGGGGGTGACCTGGGCGTGTCCCGAGGAGCAGGCCAGGCTGGGCAGCCACTCAGGGAAGTCAGCAGACCCACAGCACTGGGAGGCTCCTTGTTGCCTTGTCACATGTCTGCTTCCCACATTTCTTGCTCTGTGACACCCACCCACTTCTGGTCTCCATCCTGTCCATGCCGCAGGCAGATCCTTGAAGCCTGCCTATTGGTAGTTATTTGGAATCCTTGGATGGGGGACCACAAGCAGGGCTAGAACAAAGACTCAACCGATTCAGTCTGTCTTTCAGTGTCCCTGCTTCTGTCTCTTTCTGCTTCCATCACTGCGTTTCTTCTCTCTCTGTCTCTCTGTGTCTTTGTCTCTCTCTACCTCTCTCAGTTCAGATCTCTCTCTCTCTCAGACAAGCTCAGCTCTGTGACCTCAGGCAAACTTCCTCTCAGAGCCTCAATGTCCCCATCTGGACATTTGGAGATGGGGGTGGGGGGCTGGGATTTAGTAAGTAGTCTGCAAGGACCTTCCAAGGCTTGCTGTGTAGTGGGGCCTCCCCTGGGCCTCCTTGTGTAGCTCAGGGCTGAGTAAAGGGGGTCAGGCGTGGGGGTGCCCCCCACATTCCACAGCCCTGACTCCCCCGCTTCCCTTCCCACAGCCAGCCTCCACTTCCTGTTGTGCCTGTGGGGCTGTGGGAGTTCTCTGGGTTCTGGCTTACCCCCTCCTTCTCCCCCAGGCCTTTCATCATACTTTCCAAATATTTGTCCTGGCAGATAAGAGCCTGGTATTGGAACTGTCACCCAGAGGACAGGCTGTTAGAGTTGGCGGACCCCTGGACACCATCCAGCCTAAGCTCCCGGCTCCCCACTGTACATACAGAGAAACTAAGGCCCAGAGAGAGGGGGGGCTCAGTCACCAGAGAGGTAGAGGCAGAGTCAAAGCAGGGTCCAAGTTCCTTGAGGCTGAGCCCAGGGCAGGGGGAGGGGACCTGTGGGCACAAAGCCCTCTTGGCTATGGAACACGGGTCGCCTTTGACTTCAGCCCCATGGATACGGAGGCTGGGTGGCTGAGGCTGGGTTCACTCTGCAGGACCCAGGTATGAAGATGGGCCCTGGTACTGCCTCTGCCCCACCCTTGGCCCTGACCCCTGTTTAACCCTACAGGACACCATGCGGCTTCAGAGTACCATGCCAACTCCCGTCCTTAAAGGTAGGTATACTGGGGCAGGGGTGGGGGTCCCGAGGACCCACTAACTGGGATCCTGGAGCTGGCAGGGGTGGTGCATGCTAGCACCAGGGCCTGGGAGCTTCAGTTTCCTACCTTTCCAGTGGGTCTCAGCGGAGGCCCCTCCCGCTGCCCATCCCTCAGCTCACAAACCTAAGTGGATCCCCTGCTTGTTCAGAGCCAACAGCGCAGATCTTTTGCTTGTCCCTTCACACCTCATGCCCCCTCACCAGCTGTCCCCACCCCACCCACTAACAGTCACACCAGCCTCCCGTTCCTGTTCAGCACTCGCTGGTATCAGCCTGTCGGGGTCTGCTTCCGGTCCGGGCCTTCCCTCCCCTGCCTGGACCCCTCATTAGCTGTGAGACCCCAAGTTCTGGCTGGGCTTCTCCTTTCGGCACACCCTTCCCTCGCTCCTGCCCCGTTACAAGTACTTGACGCTCCAGGGGCTGGACAGCTGCCCAGGCAATCAGTGGCCATTGGCAATCAATGATCAGGCAACAGTTTACCTGAGGATGACTGGCTGACTGAGCACCTACCAGTCTGGGAGGCGTGGCTTACAGAATCCTTCCCCAGGGGATAACAGCAGGAGAAGGGGAACCAATCACTTGACAATCCCCCAACCCCAGTCCCCTTGAGCCCCCAGGAGCCTGCCCCTGTCCCCGGTCTGCCCCACTCTGAGCTACTTTGCCCCACCCTCCCTAAGCAAGGCCACCTTTGGGCTTTGGGAGGAACCTGGGCAGCTGGGACAGCTATAGGGAAGAGGCTCAGAAAGTGACCTGGGAAATAATGCAGGAACTGGAAGCTGGGAATTGCTTCCCGAGGATTTCCTGACGCCTCTGTAAGAACATGCCCACAGCCTGAATGCTGCACTGCGCAAGGACTCCAATGCTGGGGGTCGTCAGGCACTGAGATCAGGAAGCCAGGAGTCCCTGGGGACCAGGCACTGAGCAAGCAGGCCTCAGCGCCATGGGTTCCAGTCTGTGTTTGGATTAGGGAGGTGTGTCCTTCAGGGGCTGTGCGTATATGGCCTCCCTCAGGGTGGCTCTGGGGAGAGGTGTGGAGCTCTGTGCCCTAACTCTGCTGCTTCCTCTCCCAAAGGCCAGGTACTGCTGCTGCCTCTACTGTTGTTGCTGGGATCACAGGTCTCCCGCGGTCTGGTCATCACACCCCCAGGGCCAGAGCTCGTCCTCAATGTCTCCAGCACTTTTGTTCTGACCTGCTCGGGTCCAGCTCCGGTGGTGTGGAAACGGATGTCCAAGCAGCCCCTGCAAGAAATGGCCGAGACCCAGGAAGGCAATTTCTCTAGCATGTTGACGCTGACCAATGTCACTGGACTAGACACCGGAGAATACTTTTGTACCTACAACGACTCTCATGGGCTGGAGGATGGTGAGCAAAAACGGCTCTACATCTTTGTGCCAGGTAAGGCCCCTGACCTGTGTGTTCCCTCCCTTACTCCTCTTCTCAACTGCAGGCAACTGGGGAAGCTCAGAGGGTGCTTTAGCGACATTGTGAAATACAGCCAGCTTAGAAATGCAAACGAATCATGGAATCCAGCCTGGCTCAGTCCAGGAGCATGTTCACTCCTACCTCTTGGTCTGAATATCTATCTGCTCCCTGCCAGCCCACCCCATTCCTGGCTTCCAAGCACTCTGCATTCTCAGCTGGTTCCAATATGCTCCCTCTTGGCCTCCACATCCCATCTTCCCCGTTTGCTAAGCTCCAGGTACCAGCTGCCTGTCAACTTGTGGCTTATCTTTTTTCCTACCCTGGTGCTGTCCATATCAAATGTTAAGCTAGAAGGGACCTCTGACAGCATCATTATTCTGTAATGGGAAGACTGAAGGCCAGAAAGGGGACGAGGCCTATTCAAGGTCACAAAACATTCAGGGGAGAGCCAGAAACCCAGCTCCCCTTGACCCTCATGCTTGCCTCCACCTTTGGCAGATCCCACCGTGGGCTTCCTCCCTGTTTTCCCCGAGGAAGTATTCATCTTTCTCATGGAAGTAACCGAGATCACAATCCCATGCCGAGTGACGGATCCACAACTGGTGGTGACACTGCATGAGAAGAAAGTGGATGTCCCACTGCCCGTCCCCTATGACCACCAGCGCGGCTTCTCTGGGACCTTTGAGGATAAGACCTATGTCTGTAAAACCACCATCGGGGACAGGGAAGTGGATTCGGAAGCCTTCTATGTCTACAGCCTCCAGGGTGAGCCCCCTTTCTGGCCTGATGACCAGCAGAGGCAAGTATGACCCTTTGCCGAGGTGCAGCCCTTTCCAATTTACAAAGTGTGCAGCTCCATTTTTCACTGGATTCTCATTACAGCCCTGGAAGGCATGTCTTATTTTCTCATTTTACAGATGAGGAAACTGAGGCTCAGAAAGAGGACAGAGTTTGCTTAAGGTTATGGGTTGTGTCAGTGGCAGAGCTGGGCTGTATATCATGGCGGGCAAAGACACAGACTTTGGAGCCATTTAGGTTTGAATCCCAGCTCTGCCACTTCCCACCTGAGTGACTTTGCACAAGGCACATACTCTCCCTGAGCCCACTTCTTCTGCTGTAAAGTGGGAATAATAACTGCCTACCTCCTGGGACTACGGTGGAGATGAAATAAAACAGAAGACGGAGGGTATCTGGTACACAGCTATGCTCAAAAAATTTCTCCTGTACTTAGATGCCCCGAGTCCTCAACTTCCAGACCTCTGTTCCTTCTGGAATGTCAGCTCCATGAGGACAGATATTTTGTCTGTTGTATTGACTGCTAAAGCCCCCGTGCCTAGAGTAGTACTCGGCATGGAGTAGATACTTAATAAATATTGGTTGAATAAATGAATCTTCCACACTCGCCATCCCTTCCCTCTCTGGATTCTGACCCCATCCCCAAGCTGAAGTGCTGGTAGCTGGTGGTGATTTCCTCAGCCCTAAGCTGGTCTCTCTCCACCAGCATCATCCATCAATATCACAATGAATGCAGTGCAGACTGTGGTCCGCCAGGGTGAGAACATCACCATCACATGCACTGTGACTGGAAACGAAGTGGTCAACTTTGAGTGGACATATCCCCGCAAGGAGGTAACGCTGGCCCAGGGGTGGGAGGAAGGGCCAGGCCGGGATGTGCACCTCGGCCTCCAGCCTGATGCCTTGGACGCTTCCTGACTCGGGGGGCTTGCCCCACCTGTCTCTACAGAGTGGGCGGCTAGTGGAGCCAGTGACCGACTTTGATACGCCCTCCTACATACGCTCTATCCTGCACATCCCCAGTGTTGAGCTGGGCGACTCAGGGACCTACATCTGCAATGTGTCAGAGAGTGTCTTCGACCATGGAGATGAAAAGGCCATCAATGTCACCGTGGTTGGTGCGTGCGTTGGGCTCAGCCCCAATCCTCATGCTGAGCTGTCACAGCACTGGGCTACTGTCAGCCATATTTCAGTCCAGCTCTAGCCGCAATGCTAACCAAAGCTCCATTTCCACGATAAACCAAAACCAAAACGCAGTGTCAGCCCCAGATCCAATCCTAATCCCACCTAGACTTTCCATCTAGCCAGAACCCAGGCCCCAACCCAATTTCTAATCCCACCCTCCATCCCAAGCCCACGCAGCCCCTTCCCCAAATTCAACCAGGCTGCAACTCACCTCAGCCACAGCCCTGGGCCAGAACTCGCCCAGTGAGAACTACAACTCCACTCCAATCTCAAATCCGGCCCCCAAACCAATATCAGCCCCAAATTCTGCCCTGTTCCAGTCCCAGTGCCAACTTCAATGCCAGCTTCGGTTGTTCCTAAAGCCTGAAGCTCTGCGCCTGAAGGCTGGGCTTCTTTGGCATTCACCTGATGCCTCGCCCCCAGAAGCCTCGCCCTTGGGAGGCGCTGTCCCATTGGTGGCTGGACATAGCCCCGCCCTGACGCCTGCCTTTTTCAGAAAGTGGCTACGTGCGTTTGCTGGAGGAGCTGGACGCTGTACAATTCGCGGAGCTGCACCGGAGCCGGACGCTGCAGGTGATGTTTGAGGCCTACCCGCCGCCCACTGTCATGTGGTTCAAGGACAACCGCACCCTGGGCGATTCCAGCGCCGGCGAGATCGCCCTGTCCACGCGCAATGTATCCGAGACTCGGTGAGCAGCTGCCTGTCCACTCCATTCTTGAAGTTATTATCTACAGTCGCCCTGCAGCCCACAGCCTTCAGCTACTGGACAAACCTAGGCCCATCTTTCCTGAGAGCCTACTATGTGCCAGGCACCCTACCAGGTGCTATGCCAGGCCCTGGCGATGCCTCGGAGAACAGAATACACAGTTCCATGCCTCCTAGAGCTTCCTGTCTAGTTAGTCAGATGATCACCCAGATTTTTAGTTTTCCTTGTGATTGGTGGAGCCAGCAGGAGGCAGAAGAGGAGAAAAAGGTGGGATGATTGGGCAAGAGGGTGTCAGGCTGGCCACTGCCACCTATGCATGGGTGGTAGCCCTCAGGCTGGAGAACAGCAGGCTGACCTGAGGTGCCCTATGGCAGAATAAAGCAGTGTCAGGCCTTTGAGAAGAGATGTGATGGAGGAGGGAAATGGTGCTGTCCCTTCAACCCGCCCTCTTAACCCTCCCTCTTGGCTCCGTGCAGCTGCCTGTGGGTGGGGATTCAGGAGACTAATCCTATGGGTGTGAATCCTGGCTCTGCTACTGACACCTGTGTGACCTTGGCAAGCCCCTTCCCTTCCCGGGGCCTAGTCGGTCCTGTCTGTGCAAGGAGGGTGTGGAGGGCCGTAAGCATTCTTCCAGCTCTGACAGCTGGGTCTCCTGGCCCGGCCTGCTCCCCAGGTACGTGTCAGAGCTGACGCTGGTGCGAGTGAAGGTGGCCGAGGCTGGTTACTACACAATGCGGGCCTTCCACGAGGACGCTGAGGCCCAGCTCTCCTTCCAGCTGCAAATCAACGGTGAGGAGCACTCCACCCTGCTTTCCTTCCCCTGTCCTCCTCCCCCCATTTCCTCTCCCTTCCTACACTGTCCATCCACCTACAGGAGGAACAAGAGAGGGAGCCCAGGACTCAGGAGACTGGGTTCTCGGCTGAGCTCCAACACTGACCCACTGCTGTGTGCGTACCCCCACTCTGGGCCTCAGTTTCCCCAGCTATACAAGTTGGCCATTAGGCTAGCCTGGTGTTACCAAAACCTCAGGCATTCATGGGCCAATGCCATGATTTTTCCTTCTCACATACCACTTATACTAGTTAAGTAGATATTTATTTAGCAACTGTTCAAGGCCCTTGAGGCCTCCGCCTTTGTGACGCATCTTAGTGGGGGAAAACAAACATTCAACAGGAGGGGTTAAACACACCAGTACATTATGTAGAAGGTTAGAAGGCAACAAGTGCTGTGAAAGGAAAAAAAAAAAAAAAAAAAGCACTGGGTGGGGAGAATTGAGAGTTCTGGGGGCAGGTACAGTGAGGGTTACACTTTTAAATAGCAATGATTGGAGTTGGCCTCACTGAGATGACAGTTGTGTAAAAAGACTTGAAGAAGGTGAGGGCATTAGCCAAGCGGCTATTCGGGGAAAGGGCATACCAGGCAGTGCAAAGAGAGGAGCAACGGCCGAAAGGCTGAGTGTCCGGAACAGAGAGATGGAAGATGAGGTCAGAGCTGAGACTAGGCAGTTAGGGGGTGGGGGGCAGGCAGCTCATGTAGGGCCTTGTGGGCTCCTGGACGGACTGCGCTTTTACTGTGACTGAAATGAGCCATTGCAGGGTTTTGAGCAGAGGAATGACATGATAGTGACTTAATGTTTTGTCAATTGACTTTCTAAAAATACATTTATTTTGAAAGAGAATTTAACCTCTCGATTGTAGATGGAAAATCAGCATCACATGTCATATATATAAAGCAATCACTAAAATAAACTCTGAGACAACAAAACAATGCTATTCAATTCTAGCTCCAGGCTCTTGCCTTCCCAGGGCTCTGATCCCGAGGCCTGCTCTCTCTTTGTTGAAAGGGCAGATTAGCAAGTCTCAGAGAGGTGTTAAAGACAGACTAGCACCCTACTGAGGCTTTTCCTTTGAAGTACCCAGAAGGGGAATTCGTCAGTTTTCACACTGTGATTCCTGGCATTTAATGTTCACCTGAAGTTTGCAGCGCCCCTCCCCCCAGGGGAGACTTGCCAGGTCCTCCCTGAGGGCCTTTCTCACTGTCATTCTGACCATTCCACCGCCTGGCCCCATGCCTTCTCCATGCAGTGCCTGTCCGCGTGTTGGAGCTGAGTGAGAGCCACCCTGCCAATGGGGAGCAGACAGTCCGCTGTCGCGGTCGGGGCATGCCCCAGCCGCACCTCACATGGTCTACCTGCCGTGACCTCAAAAGGTGCGTAAAACCCCTGCCTCAAGTCTCCCAGCGTACCCCCAGTTGGCTGGAAGGACCCATTGAAGGTCATCGAATCCAGCCCCTTCCTCTAGGCACATTGTTTCAGGCTAGAGCCACATCCTTGAAGACGTGGTTCTTGAAGATGCCCTGCATGGCCTAAATTGCCCCTTTTCCTTACCTTGACTCTGAGGGTAAAACGAAGGGAGTGGATTTTGCGAGCCAAGCTTCTCAGTTCTTGTGTAGGCGTGCCCCCTGCTGGTCAGTCGAGGGACCGCAGGAGGAGCCCGCTCAGGACCAGGAGGAGGTGGGAAGTGGAAGAAATTAGATTCCGCTGGCCCTCTTCCACCACAACCCCGTGCTTTAGCCTCAATTTCCCCGCCTGCAGAAGGCAGGGACTGGAAGCTGACCTGGCTGGCTCTCTCGACAGGTGTCCGCGCGAGCTGCCGCCCAAGCTGTTGGGGAACAATTCCGAGGTGGAGAACCAGCTGGAAACTAACGTGACGTACTGGGCGGAGGAGCAGGAGTTCGAGGTGGTGAGCACGCTGCGCCTGAGCCACGTGGATCAGCCCCTGTCTGTGCGCTGCACTCTGCGCAACCTGTTGGGCCATGACATGCAGGAGGTCACCCTGGTGCCACAGTGTGAGTCTTTTAGTCTCAAGCGGTCGCTGATGACCCCTCACCCCCACCTCGAGCCTGCCATTCTTGTGACTGCCTGTGCGCACACAGCGGGCCGGAGCCAGCATGGTCATGGGCACTCAGAAGCATTGTGAAGCCCACCAGAGTATGTCCCTATGCACTTCCACAACAACACAATATTGGCACATGTGTACATCCAGTATATGTCTATAAGCCATGGCTATGAATAGCACTATCTCCTTATGCCTGGTGTATGTACTCTGTGTGTATGTATGTCCTAAGCCATGTACATGAGCACGCCTGATCCTTGAACATGGGTGCAAAACCTCCACATGTAGATTTGTAAACCATGTAATAAAGAATGCACAATCCCCAGACACATGCATAAAGCTAATGTATGTCCGTAAGCATGTATGCAAGCACTTATGATGCCTGTCTACATGTGTAAACCCACGAGTGTATGTCTGTGCATGTACATGTGGGTGCATAATCCCCATACAAGTGTGCAAACAATGCATGTGTGCCAGCTGGCATAGTGCATGTTTGTAAGCATGGAGGGGAGAGGTGAGCCACAGCCTAGCTACTAGGAGCTTGCATATCATCTGGAGCTATGGCAGACAGGCCAGACTGACCCCTGAAGGGGCTGAAGGGATATGGAGGCCGATAATGATCTGAGCTGGGGATAGTTACTGAGGGGCATAGGGTATTTATGGGAGAGGCTCAAGGTATGGCCCAGAGGGAGAGGCTGAAGGCCTGACATCATAGGCTGTGGCGGGGTGGGTGATGCACTTCTGTTCTGGGCAGGATGGGCAGAGAGGGATTTGTGGTGCCAGAGGTGAGGGCAGCTGCCAAGCGCCCTATTGACTTATGGCCATCTCTTATTTCTGCCTCCAGCCCTGCCCTTCAAGGTGGTAGTAATCTCGGCCATCCTGGCCTTGGTGGTCCTCACAATCATCTCCCTCATCATCCTCATCATGCTCTGGCAGAAGGTAAGCCCACCTGCACCTAATGGGTACAGACTGGCACACCATTGTTTTGCATGGACTCCCCCGACTACAGTCCTTGAATCCTGTAGGATCTGGCCACGTCTAGAACCCAGCATAGAGTTCAGGTGTAAAAGGATATAGAGTGACGCTGGGTGTCTGAGCTTCTTCCAGCCCCAGCAGCCTGGACCAACAAGGGCCTGGTCTAGGCCATCGGGGTTCCCTGTGTCTGCTGTCCCCCTGTCCAGATCCTGCTCAGATATCATTCCTTCCCATCCCAGCCACACAGCATGGGGCCTGTGAATTACAAGGGCCCCAGGATTCTTCCAACTCTCAACCACAGAGCCTCCAGGAGTCTACTAAACTGCATTGAAATCCTGTTAGTCTATAATTTCCGTGTTCTTTTCCGAGATTTCATCATTCTGTGCTTCTAACATTTTAAGATTCCTGCCTTAGGATTGCAATACCCCACGGTCTATCTTTCTAAGATTCCAGTCCTGTGATTCCAACATCCTATGGTTTCAACATCCTAAGGTTACATCTTTCGGAGACTTCCACTGTGACTGACCCAGCATGGGGAGGGGCTGTACACATCAGGCAGAGTGCCCCTGCCTTGTGTCACTTTCTGGGGCTGCTTGCTCTTCTACCTCCATCCGAGGAGCAGCTGCGGCTCTGGAAGAAGCTGGTGAGGAGGTTCTGATGAGCTGGACCCTCGGCTGTCAGCTGCTCCTCAGCCGCTCCCTAGCTGGGGCCCCTTGGCATCTGTTCCCACTAAGCCCACGAAGGCCTTGGCTCTGTTGATAATTTGCTGTGTGACTTCAACTATGCCCCTGCCCCTCTGGGTCTCCTGCCCCATCTATTTCACAAGGGGCTTCACCTAGTGGGCCTCAAGGTCCAGACCCCCTCTGACGTCCCATCCCTGGTCTCGGTCCTGCAGAAGCCCCGCTACGAGATCCGATGGAAGGTGATTGAATCTGTGAGCTCCGATGGCCATGAGTACATCTACGTGGACCCTATGCAGCTGCCCTATGACTCTACCTGGGAGCTGCCGCGGGACCAGCTTGTGCTTGGTCAGTCCAAGGAAGCCTCACGGGACAGCGTGGGGACTTGAGGCAGTGGGAAGAAGACTATCTGCAGTCTGGTCCCAGACTTGCCATGACTAGCTTTGAGACCTAAGGCCAATGTCTTGCCTTCTCTGGCCCTCAGTCTCCCCCTCTGTACAACGGGGACACGATTCCTAGGGACTGTCCAGCATTGAGGTCCTATGATCCCATGACTGTGTGAGGTGGGACCCCTTTGTGTCGAGAGAGGAAATATTAATCAAGGTCAGGCTTAGTCTAGGGGTGAGGCTGAGGGGTGCAGAGGAGCTGTGCTCTCTGGGGAGGGAGGAAGCAGATAGGCTTAGATGAGACACCAGGAAGGAAGGACCGTGCAGCACTGTGATTTTAGGAGCCTCCTTGGGGGGGCAACACCTCAAGTCCAGGGTGGTTGAGGGATGTCTAGGTTGCCCTCAGAGAAGGTGGGGATGCAGCTTCCTGGTGGGCCAGGAGGTGAGGGATCATCTCTACCCCAGGACGCACCCTTGGTTCCGGGGCCTTTGGGCAAGTGGTGGAGGCTACGGCTCACGGCCTGAGCCATTCTCAGGCCACAATGAAAGTAGCCGTCAAGATGCTGAAATGTGAGTCAAGGGAGCACCCCGTGCCCCACCTCTCCCCTGCCCCCTCCCATACAGTCAGGTACCCCTAGAGCAGGCGAGGCCTGATTCAGATTTCCCTGGTACAAGAAGTATAGTCACACGGCAGCCAGTGCCACCCCTGATTCTGCTTTGGAAGAGAGGCATCCTCACCCTGCCCCTGTCCCTGGCAGCCTCCTCCCAGCCTCTCCCCCTTCTCCCTACCGCCTTCCCTCCGCCCTCTTTCCCCACCCCCTGCATGTGGGTTTTCACCACCCTTTACCACCTGGGTCTTACAGCACACACTGGGGCAGAGGAGCTGGAATAGGGTCCAGTGGGGCCTCCATGGGGCCTCCGTGATGGGGTCAAGCCTGAGGCCCCCTCTCTCCCGTAGCCACAGCCCGCAGCAGTGAGAAGCAAGCGCTCATGTCGGAGCTGAAGATCATGAGTCACCTCGGGCCCCACCTGAACGTGGTCAACCTGCTGGGGGCCTGCACCAAAGGAGGTACAAACCTGTTGCCCAGAGGATTCTGGGAAATGCCAGTGGCCAGGGCCTGGCCCTTCCCTCCCCACCCCTTTCTCAGTCCAGGGACAGCAAGACACTCCGGCTGGAGTGTCTGTGCTCCTCCATCCAGCACCCTCACTTCAGAGCCAGATGGCTATGGGACTTAGAAACTTACAGCATCACAGCACTGCCAAAGCCAAAGAACGCTTCAGGTCACCAGTCCAAATCAAGGGTGCCTCTGAAATTAAAAATTTTTCAAAATACATTTTAATAACTGTAATAAATGACAGCTCATGCAACACTGAGATCAGTTATATCCCCACCACTGGAGACCACCAGTCTGCTAACTGGGGTCTGTCTTCACTCAGATCATAGAAGGAAGCCTCTCCAGCCAAGTGTGTTTATTGGAAGCTTCAATTGCAAGTTAGGCCACAGAAAAATGTCATTGCCAGTTGCAGCTGCTTATTGTGAGGTTTGGGATTTTCCTCAGTATTGTGCAACCAAAACAAAATACGGAAGTACGTTGCATACATAGGTCAATTTATGTCTGCAATGATCATCCGTTTCACAATTTTTGTCTTCATTAATATCCTCAGGCTCCCACTGATTGACTGTAAACAAATGTATTGTATTTGAATTTAAACAGTAACCTGACAATAAATACAATAGTTGCCTCTATTTACTTCCTACGCTGGGCTCCAAAACAAGCTTTAGTTTGAACACTTATCAAAAACAGCTGTGTGCTTGCTGTGTACCATGCACTGAGCAAAGCTGAAAAAGGCGTTATCCCATGAACACTCATGACAGCTCTTTGAGGTGGGTATTAGTAGCCCCACTTAACAGATGGGGAAAGTAAGGCTCATGGTCACAGAGGCAGGAAAAGAACCCAGGTCTGCCTGACGCCAAAGCCTCTTCACCATCATACCAAGCTGCCTCTCCGACGTGTAGCCCGTCATTAGCCTTATGGCCCGGATGAGAAGCCTGAGGCCTCCCCAGGGACTGTCCCTGAGCCTGTCCCCCCACAGGGCCCATCTACATCATCACTGAGTACTGCCGCTACGGGGATCTGGTGGACTACCTGCACCGCAACAAGCACACCTTCCTGCAGCACTGCTCCAACAAAGGCCGCCGGCCCAGTGCCGAGCTCTACAGCAACGCCCTGCCCGTTGGGCTCCCCCTGCCCAGGTACCGGCATGGAGGCAGGGCTCGGAATCTTTGGGGATCCCTGAGGAGCACCTGCTCATTCCATCCTTGTCCAGGACAGGAAGCAGACGCCAAGGCGGGTAGAGTCACTCTTGGAGCCTGGGCTGTTTCACAAGTTAGTCCCCAGACCCCGGGTTTGGCCACCCCACAGGAGGACGTGACAATAATGGTGGGATCGGCTGCCACCTGCTGACTGTGTGCAGTGTGCCAGGCCCTGTGCTAAGCACTCTGCAGACGGGACCGACCCCTTGGCCCCTCACAAGGTCCCTGTGTCCTGATACCTTCCTCGCCTTCCACCGTGAGCACTGGGGGCTCTGCTGTCCCAGGCCTGACTCCGGGCTCTAACTCCTCCCTGCAGCTCCCACTCCCTCTGCACGCCAGTCTCTCTAGCACCCCGAGGTCGACACAACCGCTCTCTTCTTCTTTTCCAAAAATAACATAGTTCTTTTGCTGATTACAAAAGCAGCATGCGTTTATTTCAGGGACAAGAGTAACTTCAGAAAGGCATTAACAGATAGTAAAACTCATCCCTGTCCTCCCCAACATGTTGATCGCTTTCCTTCCGTTCTTTTTTTCTACTCTTAGAGACACGCGTATATGGTCCCACAGCTCTCTGGGGAGCTGAGGCTACAGGCAGAAGCATTAGGGCAATTCATTGCCCACTCTGGGCTGTGGCTGGGCACTTATGGGGCATCATGGCTGGCTGGGGCTGTAGAGGCCACAGAAAGGTGCCTTGGTACACACCCTTCTTATTACCTTTGTCCGGGGTGTTGTAATTGCCCATGGGCCTGAGCTCTCTGAGGACACACACTGGGTCTTATGTCATCTTGGCAGCCCCAGGGCCCAGCTCAGAGCGCCACAGGTTGGTCATTCACATGACAGTGACAGACTGGAGGAGGATGAGTGAGGGAGGCTGAGAAGAAATACACGAGTGACAGGGCCATGCATGCCCCGGGGGTGAGCAGAGGGGCAGAAGCGGGGAAGAGAAGGGAATGCCTGTGGCCTCTCCTTTTATGACAGTCCTCTCATCTTCAGCCACATGTCCCTGCCTGGGGAGAGTGATGGTGGCTACATGGACATGAGCAAGGACGAGTCAGTGGACTACGTGCCCATGCTGGACATGAAAGGAGACATCAAATATGCAGACATCGAGTCCTCCAACTACATGGCTCCTTACGATAACTACGTCCCCTCCGGTGGGTACACACGGTGTCCTTACACCTGTATGGCCCTCATACCTGTGCAGTGATGCATTCTTTTCAAAGCCTTTCTCACACCCAGCCTGGCGACAGCCTCGGGAGGAAGGTGGCCTTGTGCCCATTTCATAGATGCGGAAACTGAGGGTAGCCACGTGCCCAAAGCTGCTGTGTGGTGGAGCCCCAACATGAATCCTTGTTTCTGGGTCCAGAGATGTGCATACAGCCCACAGGGAGGGGAAGCTGTAGGGTGCAGGGAGGGTACCTGGTGAAGAGTGGTCTGGTTAGAGCAGCCCCAGGTTGATCTAGTGTCCCTGGAAAGCCCGCAGGCCAGGCTGAGAAAAAGTGGCCCAGGGCTAACGCTGGAAGGTTTTCTGGCCAGTGAAAGTTCTGGTCAAGTACGAGAGGAGATGGTTTTTCTCTTGGGAGAGACTTAGAGGACCAGTAGCCTCCTGTCTCAGACATGCCGCCTCCACGAGCCAAAGAGCAGAGGTTCTGCGGGCTGTGGGGAAACACAAGGTGGTGGGTGACCTTCTGTTCTGCCCTAGCTCCCGAGAGGACCTGTCGGGCGACTTTGATCAACGAGTCCCCAGTGCTGAGCTACACGGATCTTGTGGGATTCAGCTACCAGGTGGCCAATGGCATGGAGTTCCTGGCCTCCAAGAACGTACGTGTAGTCACAGTAGGCAGATTGAGGTCAATGTGGGAGGTGGGTCACCCAGCCAGCCAGAGTCCTCCAAGGACGTAGCCCCACATGGTAGCTACGTCCTGTCTGGCGGGTGAGGACAGCGAATGCCCTCCCACCGCATGGCCCCTCACACCTGGGACGGTGATGCATTTTTCCCAAAGCACTTGACGCGGGGGGTCTTTCCCCACAATTGCCCCCAAGGCCTCAGCTCCCATCCCACCCCCTTCCCCTCCTGGCCCAGTGTGTCCACCGAGACCTGGCAGCCAGGAATGTACTCATCTGTGAGGGAAAGCTGGTCAAGATCTGTGACTTTGGCCTGGCTCGTGACATCATGCGGGACTCTAACTACATCTCCAAGGGCAGTGTGAGTACCTTCCCCCACCCTGTATGCCTCTGACCCTCCTGGTCAGCATGGCTTCAGCTTATAGGAGATCGGGACAGGGCTCCTCATGGTCTGACCTGCCCAGCAGGGACAGGCTCTGCCAGCCTAGCTCTGTGTGCCGGGACAGGAAGGGAGCCACCAGCCGTGCATGGGGTGGGAAGGGGCAGAGATGCTGAGGCTTGTGGGAGGGGGCCGGAGACTCAGATTTGATGGTCATGGTAGGGGACAAGGAACCAGCTATAATAGGTCCTGGGGAGCAGGCAAAATGTGTTGTCTCAGTGGTGGCAGGGGGCAGAGGAAAAAGCCCAGGTGACAAGCTAGGACAGATGAATAGGTGGCAGGCAGTATTTGTTCAAAATATGACCATTCTGCCTCCTACTCATGTCCCCATTCTCCATGGGGACAGTGAACCTCAGAGCTGGCGGCTGCTAGGTCACACATAGATCTAAGGCAGCTAAGGATGAGAGCTGGGTGGCACCTTGGCATGTCCCCGGCTCCCACTCCCCTCTGCCAACTCAGCCAGTGGCCTCTCCTGGGGTCAGGAGCCTCAGACCCATGGGGCTACCATGTCCGCAGCTTGTGGGAGAAGAAACTTGGCCTCCTGATCCTCTGGCCAGCACTGGGATGGGCATGGGAACCATGTGCTCACAGAGATGGGCCTTTGAGGACTAGGGAGTGAGAAAGAGTTGGGGGTGGGAACTGCGAGGCCTCCTCTCCCCGCCCAGGTGCAGAGTGGGGCTGGGTCCCTCCTTGCACTCAGGACATCCTGCCCTCCTGCAGACCTTCCTGCCTCTGAAGTGGATGGCCCCTGAGAGCATCTTCAACAGCCTCTACACCACCCTGAGCGACGTTTGGTCCTTTGGGATCCTACTCTGGGAGATCTTCACCCTGGGTAAAGCTTTCTTCTTCCCACAGTCCTCACTGTCATGGCATGGCATCCACCCTGACCATTGACACTTCCAGCCTGGCGGGGCCATGAATGGACTCTGGGACAGGGATTGGGGCTCTGGTTCAAGTCTTAGCTCTGCTGTTTTCTCACTGCTGTGTGACCTTGGCAAGTCTCTTGCCCTCTCTGGGTCTCTACCGCTCCATCTGAGGATCAAGGGGTTTGGACAGTGACATCAAAAAGCCTGCTTGGCTCTGATAGTCTCTGGTCATTTGATTCTGGGGAGGGTTGCAATCTGCCCAGAGCCATGAAGGAGCCCACATTTCTCAATTCCAGTGCCACTGCCTCTTCACCCACGCCAAGGCTGGTGTGTCTCTCCTTGTTTCCATAGAAGAGGGTTCCTGCCACTTGTTCAACACCCCTAAGCCTGCGTATCTCTTCTCTTGTTTTTGCTCCCGGACAGGTGGCACCCCTTACCCAGAGCTGCCCATGAATGAGCAGTTCTACAATGCCATCAAGCGGGGTTACCGCATGGCCCAGCCTGCCCACGCCTCCGACGAGATGTGAGTAGCACATTTGGGAGGATATATATATATATATATATATATATATATATATATATATATATATAAAAATAGATATCCAGCTTTACCAGCCTAAGCCAAAAATAGATTAGTTTAGAGAGCTAGAAAAATCTGGGTATAGCTGGATCTAGGTGTGTGGATGATGTCATTAGCAACCCCTCCTTTGTGCTGGCCTCATATTCAGGCTGGCACTACCCAGTGGCTATGTCCTAACTGCTGTCACCATAGTTCCAGCAAAAGGCCCAGAGCTGACTGTCACCGTCTCCGCTGGGGTCACGTGCCCATTCAGGACCAGCCACTGAGCTGAGGGAATGAAAATTCCTACCTGCCAGACCCGGGTCATGTGCTTAACAAGCTGCGGTCAACCCCGTGGAGCCACTGGACTGGGGGCGAAGGGGGGGCTCCCCAAGGGGGCATCCAGATGTGATAACGGGAAAACAGCACCTCCCCACCGCCCCTCCCCAAGTCCTTTCATTGCTCACTTTGTTCTGGGGTGGCAGCCCCTCCCCCTGTGCCCTGTGTCAGAGACCCTGACCCCTCTGTGTCTCTCCCCAGCTATGAGATCATGCAGAAGTGCTGGGAAGAGAAGTTTGAGATTCGGCCCCCCTTCTCCCAGCTGGTGCTGCTTCTCGAGAGACTGCTGGGCGAGGGTTACAAAAAGGTATGTTGAGGCAGGCTGGGAAACGGAGAGTTCTGGTCCAAAAGTCAGACACTGGGTAAAAGGCTCTGTGTGACACGCTGATATTTGGGGGGCCGCCCTTTACCCTCTCTGGGTCTCAGCTTCCCGGCTGGTACTGGTGAGGGATAGGCTGGAGCTATGAGTTTAGTCTATTTTAGCAGCACAGAGAGTTTTGAGATGAAATCCCACGTGGCAGCTGATTGGTTTAATGGGGAAAGGGAGCCTATAGTCCCCTTCAGCCCGCATCCTTCCTCATACGTTTGCACCCACGCCAAATCTTGGGTTTCTTCAGAAACGTGAGCTTCCCCAGGTTAGATGACCACTAAGGATCTGATCACTTGGGCCCCAGCCAGGCCCAGACAAGGCCAACGAAGCCAGGAGGGCCTTCCAGCCCCCCTGCCCACAGCGGGGACTAGAGTGAGCGGAATGCCTGTCTCCTTTGGCACGGACGCAGCCCTTTCCCTAGGCCCGTTCCTAACCCCACTCTCACTCCAGGGCTGGCTATGGCTCAGGGACCAGTAGTGAGTTGGAATAGAGCTGTCCCCACTCAGTAGTTAGGGAAACGGGGGCCCCACTGAAGGAGGTTGAGGCAAGATGAGAGCCCTCACCTGTCCAGTCTGAAGGGGGGAAGTGTTAGGGTCTTGGCTGCTGGTCCCCTAACTGCCCCTTCCCTGGGTGGCCCTCAGCTCACCTTGTCTTGTGAGATGCCAGGTGGGAGGCAGCTCAGCTGTGTGGCTTTGGGCCATGGTCCTCCCTCTCTGAGCACCAGTTGCCTAATGTATACAAGATGTGAGGGACTGGTTCAGAATCTAACTGTTGGATGATCTCTAGAGGCTTTTCTGATCTGACCTTCCCTGTTTCTTGGGTTCTCCCTGCCCCTTGGAGCAGAAGTACCAGCAAGTGGATGAGGAGTTTCTGAGGAGTGACCACCCAGCCGTCCTTCGGTCCCAAGCCCGCTTGCCTGGCTTTCACGGCCTCCGATCCCCACTGGACACCAGCTCAGTCCTCTACACAGCTGTGCAGCCCAACGAGGGTGACAATGACTATATCATCCCCCTGCCTGACCCCAAACCTGAGGTTACAGATGAGAGCCCACTGGAAGGTTCCCCCAGCCTTGCCAGGTAGCCACTGTGGTCCAGGACATGCAATAGTTAGTATACATAGTGTGTGTGTGAGTGTGTGTG